AGAACAGCAGAAGTCCTGGCAGAAAACCTTCCAAACAACCACGGTCGCCCCTGGAATAGTGACGTGAGAGCCCGGGTTCAAATCTCTGCACCAGTGTAGGCAGGTCGGGGATTTGAATCCAGGTGTCCCCGACATGGGTGAGTGCTCTAACCACGGGGGGATGGGAGTTGACGTGGGTTGGGAGTCTAGTTCCAGGGCAGGGTTGATGGCTATGAATCCTGAACAGAGGCAGGTGTGTAAGGGGACCAAAGAGAGACCCCTGAGTCATTCTTGAGGATCAGGGTTTAGCCCTCTCCTTGGTTTTTAGGCAGCCCTCCACTGAGCATGCTGGCGTCTGCGTCCCAGTCGGAGGTGCCTGACACCCCTAAGGGGCTAAGGACTCCTCTGGGAAGCCAAGTGTCCATCTTAGCTCTCTCCCTTTGTGAATCTTGCCCAAAGTTCACACGAGTCGGTGGCTCAGATGAGAGAGGACCCCAGATTTCCTGCCTCCCCCTCCAGAGCCCTGACTGGAAAAGCGTCCTGCAAAGAGCTTTCTGCAGGTGACGGAAGTGATACACTTCGCACAGGGAGGACAGATATTCAAGTGCATGGGCTCCTCGTGTTAATGTGAGTCCAAATGCCTCATAAAAATGATACCGGATGATCAGAGAACTGTGCCCAGGGGAGGTGAAATTCCCCTGGAGAACATTCCCTCTGCAAGCGCAGTGTGTGCAGTAATACGCTAATGGCTTTCAATGTCGTGGGCTAGAGAGAGAGAGATCTTACCAGCCCCTGACGTCGCTGCATATTACAGCAGCGCGGCGCAAGCACTTTGGTGGAGACCACCGCGCAGTCCTGGCTTTGTCCGCCCAGCGACAGGAGCTGAAAGACCTCGTAGTGCAGCTAGTCGGTTTTGCCTGTCTCCTTGCTGCAGACGCGGCTCTGTGGCCCTCCCTATTAGGGAACTTTCTAGCACTCAGAGCACCCTAGCGCAGGGGTTTTCGAACGATGGGTCGCGCCCCAGCGCTGGATGGTGGGGTGTCAGGCACTGGGGCTCAGTGCTGCCGGAGGATCAGGGGAGCAGTGGGGGGGGCTGAAGCAACTCCCTGCCTGTCCTGCCACCGCAGACTGTGCTGCACCCCAGAAGCGGTTGTAGCAGGCCTACTTCCTAGGTGGGGGGAGAGCGCAGGGCTCCGTGCACTGCCCCTGCCCGGAGCACTAACTCCACACTCCCATTGGCTGGGACCTGCTGCTGGCTGCTTCTGGGGGCAGCCTGCTCTGCGGTGCCAGGAGAGGCAGGAAGCTGCCTTAGCTCTCCCCTCTTTCCTGGACCACTGACTGGGAGCCGTTCAAGGTAAGCCCCTCCTGCCCCAGCCCTGCCCCCCAAATCTGGAGCCCCCTCCTGCGCCCCAAAGCCCCACCCCGGAACCTCCACTCCAGTCACAGGATGTGGGGTCGCGGCACCAACAGTTTTCTTCAACGGGGTCCTGAGAAAAACAGTTAGAAACCCGCTGGGCTAACTGACTCCTCTCCCAATAAGGAACGTCCCCGGAAGCATAGCGAAGTCGTTAGAGCGAGGGGCTGTGAATCAGGGTACCAAGAGTGAACGAGACACAAAGCCGAGCTTTAAACCAAAAAAAAATCTATTTCTTCTCCCCAGCTGGGCTTCCCTTTGTGCTCCAAGCTGCTCTCTTCCACAGAGAACATAAGAACGGTCAGACTGGGTCAGGCCAAAGGTGCATCCAGCCCAGTGTCCTGTCTGCCCACAGTGGCCACTGCCAGGAGCCCCAGAGGGAGTGAACAGAGCAGGGAATCATCCATCGATCCCTCCCCTGTCACCAGCCCCAGCCTCTGACAAACAGAGGCTGGAGACACCATTCCTACTCATCCCGGCTAATAGCCCTTGATGGACCTAACCTCCAGGAATTTATCTAGTTCTTTTTTGAACCTTGTTAAAGTCCTGGCCTTCACAACATCCTCTGGCAAGGAGTTCCACAGGTTGACTGTGCGCTGCATGAAGATAAACGTCCTTTTGTTTGTTTTAAACATGCTGCCTATTATCTAGTTGCTCAGACCTCAAGCTCTCGGCAGCAGTCTGTGTTATGCGTCTCATACAGTGCCAAGTGCGCAGATGCCACTTCACAGACAAGAATGATTTGGGCTCTTCTGCAGGCTCGTAAGAGATCTCAACCATCGCCTTACCTCTTCTCCTGAAGGATCTTAAAGTGCCTTCCATGCGTTATACTCCAGAATCCCTTTGCTTGCTACAGAAATGCTCTTGCCGTACACGGCAGCTGTTCCCGTGCACACGTTTGGGATGGGCAGTGAAGGAGCTGTAAATGCTGGGGTCATCATGTCGTCGTCTGTTCCATTGCACAGCAGCAGAAAGTTCAAACCCCCCGAACAATCGAACAGGCTGATTTTTGGATTAATCTTTACAATTTTTTTTAAAACAGATAACACACAATCCTTTAAATCAGTGCACGTTCCGTAGCCTGGCCCTTATGGGAAAAGACATCATTAAAGTCTATGGGTATGTCTAGACTACAGAGTTTTGTCGACAGACGTTTTGTCGACAGATACTGTCGACAAAGCTTCTGTCGACAAAGAGCGTCAACACTACATTCAGTTCTGTCGACAAAGCAAGGTGCTTTGTCAACATGGCAGTGTAGACGCAAGGACAGTTTACATGTAATAACACCTTCTGTCGACAGAACTCTGTCGACAGAAGGCGTTATGCCTCGTAAAATGAGGTTTACCAGCGTCGACAAAACTGCTAGACCTCGGCGGTAGTGTGGACGCAGGTATAGTTTTGTCGACAAAAGTCCACTTTTGTCGACAAAACTCTGTAGTCTGGACACACCCCAAGTGTGGTACCTTTTCAGGCCCTTGAACAGCTAGCTACTGGCTCTTCTTGTTCTCTTTTCATAGCCTTCACCTCCCTAGCAACCTGCCAAGTCCCAGATGTGCGATGCAGCTGTTGTTCCACTGTTCGCTTCTGCTCCCCCACCCCATCTGTCTGTCTGTCGTCTCTTGTCTTGTATTTAAATTGGAAGTCTTTTGGCACCGAGAGCATGGTTTTGTTCGGTGTCTGTACATCACCTAGCACCACGTTGTCCTGACCCATGACTGGGTGGCTGGTAATAAAAAGGATAAATAATTATGTCTGACAAGACTAAAAAGAAGGGACATTGAAATTATTCCTGCAGCCTTGGTCTACACTAGGACTTTATTTCAAAGTATCCCCTCCCCCCAGGTCGAATTTATATGTGGCGTGTCCAAACCCATTATTTCGAAATAACCAGCTGTGGAATTCAGTATCTGGAGTCCTGCTTTTCCTCAGGAGTAACGCTAATTCCAAAATAGCTGTTTCAAAATAGCCGTTGTGTGGACGTGCCGGTGCCACTCTTTCGAAATAACGGCTCCCCAGAGTTATTCATAACGCTAATTCCAAAATAGCTGTTCCAAAATAGCCGTTGTGTGGACGTGCCGGTGCCGCTCTTTCGAAATAACGGCTCCCCGGAGTTATTCAAATGAATGACTCCCCAGTGCTTCCTGGGGCTCTAATGTCCAAGGTGGCACGTCCACATTCACGGAGCCTGCTTCAGACTCATTTCCAGACTTCCCCGTAGCGTGGACACGCCAGTTGGATTTTGTTAAATTGGGAGTTATTAAATCAAATGTAGTTATTTCAAAATCGTTTCCTAATGTAGACGTGGCTGCAGTAAACTAGGGTGTGCTCGTGAAATCGCCTTCTTTAGGGAGGTGGAAACCAAAGCTGCTGTAAATTAGCATGACCACAGAGCAAATGTGAAAAAAACAGGCCACTTTTATGTGTGGTGGGGAGACATAGTTGTCTGTTTAGGACAAAGCCCCTAATATCGGGATGGTCTCAGTTCTATCGGCATGTCTGGTCACCCTACTGTAAGTGATTTATTGCTCTGTCAATTCTGCTGGTTTTCACTAGCTGGGAACCTGGTACTCTCTCTGCTCCATAATTCCGCAGGTCTGAGGTAAATCATTTTCTACACTGACTGCTAGTGGGGTGGGACACCAGCAATCGGTCGCGTGGAACATCAGAGCAGGACTGAGCAGCGGGTGCCTCTCGGAGCGGTGCTTTTCACTCACTGCATTGAGTATCTTCCCCTTGGCATGTTCTGTGCATAGGCTTCTTTTCGGAAGGGCACTTCCTCCTAAGCCCAGCTACTTTCCTCAGCCTCCCTCCCACCAAACATTTCAGCTTCAGCCTCTCCCAGCCTGCTCCGTGATCCAAGCCTGCCCCTCATTGTCTCTGTGCCCGGTGGTGTCTGTGTCGGTAGCACTGTCAGCCCGCAGTGAGAGATTGGTGTCGCAAACTTGGCAGCCCTTCAGTCCTTAATGTCTTTTCCGAGCTCCACAATAGCAATACTGCTCTAGGTCACTCACGGAGACCACCAAGCAGCTTCTCATAGGGGACAACGTCCGTCCCCATTGGTATGGGCTGCAGTAGAGCTGATGACGTATGAGTGAAAGGCACCAATGCCTGGGGCCTAGCCCCACAGCTGTCTGGGGTCTGGCTACACTAGACCAGGCAGGTCAGCTTAAGGTACGCAACTCCAGCTACGCAAAATACATCACTGGAGTCGGCTTACCTTAAGCCAAGCCTTGGCAGCATCCACACAGCGGGAGGCCAATGGGAGCAAACGCTCCTGTTGGCTTCCCTTACTCCTCGCCAGAGGAGGAGTACCTGATGCCGGTGGGAGTTGCTCTCAGTGTTCGATTTAGGGGGTCTAGACTAGACCCGCTAAATGGAACGCCAGAAGATCGACCTCCGGACTGTTGATCCTCTGCTAAGTATGGACATGCCTTGAATGTGCAAATCTGGAGCCAGCCCTCCTCCTAGTGATTGTTCTTTGTGAGTGAGGGTGGGAATTGTACTTGGTGATGTTGTGACATTCTGGACCTCGAGAGCACCCTGACACCCCCATATTCACCTGTGTGAGATAACGGTGATGTCTCTTCTCTCTCCCTACCTCCCCCAGGCCGCTGTGCCCGCTGTGGCGAGAACGTTGTCGGGGAAGGCACCGGGTGCACCGCCATGGACCAAGTGTTCCACGTGGAATGTTTTACCTGCATGACCTGTGGTAACAAGCTCCGAGGCCAGCCTTTCTATGCGGTGGAGAAGAAAGCGTACTGCGAACCCTGCTACATTGTAAGTGCCGAAGCTCGTTTTCACCCTACATGCAAACCTTCCCAGATCAGACACCCGCTGATGCTCCCTCCCTGCTTTACACTGCTGCGTTGTTAAAAGTGAGCTACTCAGTTTGGATCGAGTAAGAACAGCCCCACCCACGATACTCCAAAAAAGTGTATTTAAGCCCTTTCCCTTCCTGCCCATGATTTCTGGTTTCCAGCCAAGTCTTGACACAAATGTGCCAAATCAGAAAGACTTTTTTGTTGTGATAATCTAAGCCTGGCTGTGAACAGAAATAACAGCACTCTTAGGAGAAAGCCCTGTTCCCAAAAGCTTCCCACTGTCAGAAACTTGATTCTGAAGTCTGTGCGTAAGCAAAACTCCCACTGAAGGAGAGATTAGACTGAAGAATCGGGATGTAACTTTGCAATCCAACAGGAAGATAAAAGCCACTGAATAGCATCCACACTTTAAGCCCCCTCCACTGCCCTCTGAAAACAGTAGGAGCCCATCCATTCATTTCACGGGCCTTTGAATCCAGATGCCTTTTGAAGCTCACCCCTTCTTTTGAATATAATAATGGAGGATTGATTCGGCCTTATTTACGGTGATTGTGGCGGACGGTCCCCTATTAATTGGCTCTCAGAAATGAAATGATTTTTTTGGATCGAATACGTGCGTTAAAAAGCATTTATCCTTTTAATGGCAGCATTAAAATCAACAGTCGCCTGTCGTTAAAGAACCAGCAGTTACCGTGCCCTGGTATTTTGGCATTTGGGTGCAAAAAATTGTTCCAATCCCCGCTTTTAGAATAAGTAAAGCAGCAGAATATCGCTGAAAATGAGTGGGTTTTGTGTAGATCTCGCTCTAATTCCTAGAACCCTTTCTGTCCACGCTGGGTTTTGTCAACTAGTGCTCAGTTTATTCGCACCTGATTCCAAGGGGAGGCTTACAGCCATGATAACTAAGCCTCCAACTTCCCGTTTTCTTTGCAAGCTTCCCAGCCAATCCTGCAGGGCATTGAGTGGGTGTCAGGAAGAAATGAGGGTTGAGCAGCTCCCAAAATCAGGGAGTCCCATTTGTTACTTGCTCAAAAGCTTTAATTCCTTGGTGTCGTTCTTTCGTCACTTTTTATTGGTTATTATCATTACGACTTCCGAGCTTGGTAACCATGCCTCATTATTTCTTGCGATGGCTACAGGTCCTTTGCAGGGAGATTATTGCTGAAATGTTGAATGTAATTATGGAGGATTGACTCGGCCTTATTTCCGGTGGCTGTGGAAGACGGTCTCTGTTAATTGTCTCTTAGAAAAGAAATGACTTTTTGATTGAATATGTGCTTTTAAAGCCATTTCTCCTTTTAATGTTTGCATTAAAATTATTGTGCCATCACATTTTAAGGTTCATTTGGGGGCACCTGTGTTCGCCCGTGGGAGAAGAGCGCAATTCATTGCAAGGGGGTGTCGTGACGCACTCCGGTCAGTCCTTGATATCTCTGAAGTGAAATGTCTCATTGACTTCAGGTTGGGATCTGCTGGTCGGTTAATACATTTTTTCTAAATCAGGCATGATTTCTTCACTGCGCATCTGCTTTAGTTTGAGAGAACATCTGCATTAGCCGCTATAAGAATGGGTTGAGATTATTTAATCCCATTACTTATACACTTCATTAGCCTGAGTGAATCGTTGGCAAGGCTTCAGTAAACTTCCTAGGTTGGGAGATAAAAAGGATGAGAGGAAAAATACAGTAGGATTTTGTTCCTCATCTGCTTTCAAATGTATCTTCTATCTTTTTAAGGGATAACGCAATGATAATTGCTTGGCTGCATCTGCAATAGTAAATTCCACACTGCCGCTTTGAACACAGACGAAAGGATAAAGTTTATATTTTTATAGCTTCTTTGAAATGATTTGGGGGGAGTGTCCCTTAAATATTCACCTTCGCAGTCCACCAAAAAAAGAAGCTTAAAGGCTTGGCACAAAATACTCCTGGGAATCCAGTCTCTTGCTGATGTGAAAACAACATCAATGGTGTTACCTATCTGTAGCATTACACAAATATGGGCAGTGATTTTAAACATCCAGATGGGGAAACTGGAACTAAGAGCGTGGCACCTGATTCAGCAGCCGTTAAGCACATGCTTGACTTTAAGCACACACCTAAGGCCTATTGTCTGAAACGGGGTATCGGGGTGTATTTTCAGAATGTGCCTCACTGACTTCAGAGCGTACGTGCAATTTTGAAAACAACTCCAGAGTCTAAATCTCCTTGAAAGTCAGTTTTACATTATGTGCTTTGCTGAGTCGAGGTCTGAGTGATGTGCCAGGACCTGCACAGCAAATCAGAGATTGAATCAGTCTTCGAAAGTGGAGGCCAAATTCTCAGCTGGCATAAATGCGCATAGCTTAAGAGAGCTCCCCCAATTTCTACCACCTGTGATTCCAGTCCCAGAAGTTCTTGGCTTCTATTCCAAGACTCAAATCACTAAATCATGCTGCCTCTGCAATTTGAAAGAAGATGAAATGTGTTTGCCTCATCCAGATTTATGGACCAGGAACTGTTTGCTCTTTCCGATAGCTCACTTTGAGTGCCTGCACCGTGCTTTTCTGCAGCGTCAGGCCACGGGCAAATGAAATGCAAGTTTCTGAACAATTAAAAATTGTTTTCCATGTTTCCGATGTTACTCTTATGGTGGAGGAGCAGTAATGAAGCAAAGTTAAGGTTGCAAGAGAAATTATGTTTAAAACTTGTCCATATCAGGGATCTAGTGCTAGAAATAAAGAGATGGGTTCGCTAACCAAAGCTAAATTACCGACATGTTCCTCGCAGTGAGTAGCTATTCACCTCCCTCCTTGAAACAATTCCTAAACCCCATCTGTGACGTAGTGGGGGTACTTGCTGGGCGGTGGTGACCTCTGCTGTCTGGAGCAAGACCCAGCAGGGAAAACCTCACTATGCAAAGGTGATGCCAAACCTGTTGAACCAGATAAACCCCATGGAGAGGAACAAAGGAAGGGGGAATGCTGCCCTGGCTGGGGGGCAGGGCTGGAAGAGAGTTAGTTAGAGTGGCTGGCTGGGAGCATGGAGGAGACAGCCTAGGGAAAGGGGCTGGAGTTTAGGGGCCCAGTCTCCCCCCATCTCAAGGGGGCCTGAGGCATCCTAGCCCAGCTCTGTGACCAGATTACATCTGTGCTGTGCTGTATCCTGGAGAGGGAATAAAGTTCCTCTATTCCACCGTTTGGTGCAGTCTGTTTGTGCCATTTCGGGGCTGCAGGAGACGGGGGACCCCCAACGCGCCGTCACACCATCTCCGAACAAAAACGCTGTCCCATGTTGAGAGCTTGAGTCTGATCCTGAAATTAGTTCCTAACTTTTATGCACCCAAACCAAGTACTACAGACTTCTGTTACTCAGGGTTTTGCTCAGGATTGTTCATTTTATTCCTACAACACCGCCAACTTTGCCATTCATCAAGATGCTTGCAGTCAGCTAAAAATAGTTGTGATAAGCAAAGTGTTAACAGGAGTAAATGTGTCACATACTATGTCTACAGCAGTCAATCTAACCCCTAAACTGTGACCATATGGCTCCGCTCTAACTAGATCCTCCAATTCAGACGTGAGCCATGTAGAGTCTGTCGTCGATAGGAATACCCTTTTCTCCAGAGAAACGTATTCCCGAAAGGCTTTGGTGTGCTTCCGCGGGAGTTGGCGAAAGTTTTTGCACTGGGCTTTGTATAAAGAAGAGGTTACGGGTAATATCGCAAACACTGTCATAAAAGATTGAAGAGCAAGATGTTAGCTTCGTGCCAGCTGTCTGCTTTCCAACTACCGTATTACCATAAGGACTGAACACAAGGTTAACCAGACATGCAGGCCTGGCAGGGCATGCTGCTATTTTGCGCATGGCAGTGTTCTTTGATGTCCTGATGTCTTTCTCGGGGACATGGAAATTTCCTTCCATTCTTCATCCCTGCTTCTTGGCTTTCACGCCCCGCGGTGTAACAGGCAGTGATCAACGATCGGTTGGGCCAAGTCCTGAGAGATGCTGAGGAACCGGAGTTGCTATGGACCGAGTAAGATGATGAGTACCTTTTCAGGGTTTATATAAAAGTCAAGGTCACCAAGCGTCAGGTCCTGTTAGAACTGGAGGGGTGTCTTTGGGGAGAGAATGGTAGAAAGCACAACGAATTCTTCAGGCAAACTAGAAATATTCTGCAGTCAGGGAATATTTTATGAGCCAAGGGAGCTCATAAGAGCGGCCAGACAGAGTCAGACCAAAGGTCCGTCTAGCCCAGTGTCCTGTCTGCCCACAGTGGCCAATGCCAGGTGCTCCAGAGGGAGTGAACAGAACAGGGAATCCTCAAGTGATTCCTCTCCTGTCGCCCATTCCCAGTCTCCGGCAAACAGAGGCTATTCCTGCCCATCCTGGCTCAGAAAAGACCATCAAAAATGAAAGGGCAAGAAGTGATGAAATAACAAAAGAGCAAAGGTATCATGAGCCAGAACTGCCCTTCTGTATTTAAGAAGGCACCTTCTAAGTTCTCCACTTAGAGAGGGGGAAGTTGGATGGTTCTGTGTTCCAGGCTCCAGACCAAGACTCAGGAGGTCTGGGATCAATTCCTACTTC